TTAACCACTGATTTCTAGTTGTGTCCTCTTTTGGAAGGCCAAACAAAGTAGTTTCGTTTTCACAACGAAACACACAGCGCCTCCACAACACGGCGGCGGCGGCAACAGCAAGAATAAAAGTTACACCTTCGTACTTTGCGTGAACATTTGGGCGGCGTTATGCAAAACTTCCCACATCGTGACGTAGACATGTTGGGGGCGTGTTAGAATGAGCTGTTTTAGGTAGGCGTGGTTGACTCTTAACTTTTATAAAGAATATCTCTTTGGATTTGAGACTTTAGTCTTTGCAACTTTACAGATCTTCTTTATGCACCAAGAGCTTGTAACACTCCAAAGAGAAAGGAAAAATTGAAATCGCATCATATGACCCCTTTAAAAAGCTTTGCAGGTTTCATTCAGTCATTCACAGACTTTTAAAATATCCTTAGCCACTTGCATGTTTGTTTGTTTTTTGCAAATTATGCTTTCATATACTTCTAATTATATCTAGTCTAGTCAGTATGGAGAGTGCTGTGTAGAGAGTGCTGTGACTTGCCTATAATGTTAAAAATAATACTGGTTGTATGTTTGTAGACATTGGTTATCTATGCCCTGGGCGTCGTCCTTCAAGATGCAGATACTTGGTCACTTCCATACAGGTGTGTTTGTGTATGTTCATTTTATATAAGGTTGTGTAAGGTTCATGGTTTGCTGGTATTCTCACTTGTTTGTCTACTTTGACAGATTTAATCCTGACAGATTTGCTGATGAGTCAGTAATGAAGAGCTTCTCGCTGCTTGGGTTTTCAGGGAGCCAGGCCTGCCCTGAACTAAGGTACAAGGAGAGAAATTCATATATTATCTTTAATAAATAACCATAACAAAGATCACAAAAAAAAATTAAGTTTATCAATTATTCACCCTTTTGTCCTTCCAAACCTATATGAACTTTTTTCTGTTTAACACAAAAGGAGATGTTTAGCAAAATGTTCAGGCTGCTCTACTTCATACAGCAAAAGTGAATGGGAATGGGGTCCGTCAGGCTCCAAAACCACCTTAGTATATACAGTCTTTAATATTGTCGTGGACAATGAGGGCCGAGGAATTAAAAATGGTTGAGCGTCACTGGTCAATAGGACTCATATGAACTACTTTTATGGGGCTCTTTGAAAGAAATTGTAACGCATTATGGCAAAATAAGTTCTGCTTTGTAAATAATTCTAGAAACAGGTAAGGGACAGGTAATGTCAGATTTTTCTCCATTTAAGTAGATAGGAGTTGTAGGCTGGAGGTGATGCAAATATGTCTGCTGAGTGATCTTTCTTTTGATTGTAAGAGACTTTGACAACGTTTATAGGCCCCTAATAGGTGAAGATATTTCTGGTGTAATGAGAAGGCTGTTTGTTTTCAAACTCTTAATTTCCACAAACTAGGATTGGCTGGCTATATATTAAAAGAGTTCACACTCTTATTGAGTAATTAATTTACATGACTTTTTCAATCGTTTGTGATTACGAGAAGTTTTACTCACAATTTAGTTTTTTTAATCAATTTCTATACGATAAAATATAAAAAATCTCAACATAACAAAAAATGTATAATCAGTATAGAAACTTCAATAACTTTTAAAATTCCTTAGGTTTTCCAAGACCATGGAAACCTAAAAAGGATAGTTGTTAAGGGAATTAATTCAAATAAGAAATATTAGCTTGATTAGCTGTTATTCCTTATTTTAAAGATAGTGTTTACCTTAAAGGAACACAACACTATTTTTGAAAATAGGCTCATTTTCCAACTCCCCTAGAGTTAAACAGTTGAGTTTTACCGTTTTCGAATCCATTCAGCCGATCTCCGGGTCTGGCGGTAGCACTTTTAGCTGTAGCTTAGCATAGATCATTGAATCTGATTAGACCGTTAGCATCTCGCTCAAAAATGACCAAAGAGTTTCTATATTTTTCCTATTTAAAACTGGACTCTTCTGTAGTTACATCGTGTACTAAGACCGACGGAAAATGAAAAGTTGCGATTTTCTAGGCCTGAAAATAGGCTAACTTCCGTCAACATAACCAAATGTGACCACCTGCTTGCACAGGGAGCGTGCTGGGGAGGGGACTATTTTCAGGCGCTGCGTAATATCATTGCGCCTGCTGCACCCATGGTACGGCAGCAAAGTTCCTTGATTATTACGCCGGAATGAGAGTATAGTTCCTAGCCATATCGGCCTAGAAAATCACAACTTTTAATTTTCCGTCGGTCTTAGTACATGATGTAACTACGGAAGAGTCCAGTTTTAAATAGGAAAAATATAGAAACTATTTGGTCACTTTTGAGCGAGATGCTAACGGTCTAATCAGATTCAATGATCTATGCTAAGCTACAGCTAAAAGTGCTACCGCCAGACCCGGCGATCGGCTGAATGGATTCGAAAACGGTAAAACTCAACTGTTTAACTCTAGGGGAGTTGGAAAATTAGTCTATTTTCAAAAGTAGTGGAGTGTTCCTTTAAATGAAATTATTTTAATCCATCATACAGCCCCCTAATGGACTCTGGCCCCTGGTTGAGAACCACTACTATAAACATATAGGAATACCTTTTTTACTATTATTGTTTTGTCAAATAAAAATATTTTATATAGTAAATAATGACCAGATTTTTCATTATTTGGTAAACTATTCTTGTAAGAAACATTCACTGTCACATAGTTCACAAATCTTCTCGCTCTGTCCTTCTCTTCCTCTCTTTAGATTTGCATATACTGTGGCTGCAGTGCTGCTCAGCACGCTGGTGCGCAGGTTGAGACTGCACAGGGTGGACGGGCAGGTGGTTGAGGCCAGGTATGAGCTGGTGACCACACCCAAAGATGACACCTGGATCACAGTCAGCAAGAGGAACTGAAGGACTCAAAGCTCATGTCCCTGAATTAGCCTCTTGGGAAATTATGCATGGCCATTGGCTCTATATTGTGTGGGGCAGCAATTGATAAGATCAAAGCAATGTCATTTAGAACTGGTTCAGGTTATTAAAACTATATGCCATTGTTTTTAGACCTTCATTCCCTTTGAATATCACAGACATTCCATAAACAATGATTAATTTTGAATCGCAGTCTTTTAACTGCAGTCTTTCTATACTAATAAAAGAGTGTGATGAAGTGCATCTATCTATCTATCTATCTATCTATCTATCTATGCATTCATCCTGCCATCCATCCATCCATCTTGGCCAAATAATGAAACCGTTCTGTTGAATAGAGCATTATAGAGATACAGAAAGAGTGACAAATATAACCATATAGGGGAAGAGGAAAGAGAATTGTGAATGTGAAAGAGAGAGAGGGGGGTAATGTGATGGTGTTTTCCTCTTGCGTGCATCAGTGAGGGAGAGGGGAGTGTGATGGTGTTTTCCTCCTGCATGCATCAGTAAGATGTGAAGATGGCGGAGCTGCAGATGTTGTTGGAAGAGGAG